AACATATCTTATTTTGACTAAAGTTCTTATTATAATTTTGTGTTTATTTTTATCCAAAATTTCAATTGCTCAAACTTACGTAAATTAGGAATCTAGTATTCAACCAATCCAAAGGACAATATTTTATTACTACGTTAATGATTGGTGCACTTGCCAAACGTTCATCAAGTTTTTGGTGCCGTTGCCGGAGATTGAGTTTTCTGTTGATATTAGTGATCCAATTCGCTTAAGATTTGAGAGTTAGTTTTTAGGTAGTTAAAATTGTTTTTATTTTAGTTATTTTGTTTTTTCTGATTTTATTATCTTGTTTTTTTTTCTGTTGTCACGTTAATTTTTTTCGTTAGAATATTATATTTTTTTAGTTGTTTATGCGAGGTACAGTGGCAGAAAAAAACTTACTTTTTGACCTAGAAATTGAACGTACTGCTAGACATAATAGAAGTGAGGCAAGAAAGAAGAAGCAAAAAGGAAAAGCAGAGACATCAAGTAAAAAGGAAGAGCATATATCAACAATGACAGAAGAACAACCAAAGAGGAAAACTCTTCTTGATTATTCTATGTCAGACGTGAATAATTACCAAGGGAGCATTGTGAGACCTCCTATTCAAGTCAACAATTTTATAATCTAGCCTACATTGCTACAAGTGATCCAACAAAATCAATTTGGAGGTGCAATTGCAGAGGATCCTAATTCTCATATAGAGAATTTTCTAGCCATCTGTGATACTTTGAAGCTTAATGGAGTTTCAAGTGAGCCAATCCGCTTGAGGCTTTTTCTTTTCTCATTAAGGGATAAAACTAAAAGCTGGCTTCAAGCACAACCTCAAGGAAGCATCCCTACATAGGAAGATATGACTACAAAATTTGTAACCAAATACTTCCCTCCATCCAAGTCAGCAAGAATGAGAAATGAAATCACTACTTTTGTGCAGCAAGTGTAATATTTCAAAAAAAAAATTTTGAAAGATAAGGTTAACTTATCTTAATGGGTAAGTCTTATCCAAGTCATTAATGATTTTAATGACTTCATTAAGTAAAAAAAAATGGCTATAAAAAGGGATATGGGGGAAGTTACGGGAGAAAGAGAAAGAAAGGATAAGGGAGAAAGAAAAAGAAAGAGAAAGGGAGAAGAGAAAGAAAGAGAGGAGAAAGAAGGAAAGAAAGAAAGAAGAAAGGGAGAGGAAAGAGAGAGAGGAAGAGAAAGAGAGAGAAAGAAAGAAACAGGAAGGGAGAGGAAGAAAAGGAGAGGAAGAAAAGGAGAGAAAGATAAATCGTCTTTGCAAAATTTTGGTACTTCATCTGCAGTTCTTAAGGTAGGGGAGGAGACATTCATCAATATTCTTTTTTACTTATGGTGTAGAGTGAGGTGTCCCTAACCTCATTCTATTTATTTTATTTTATCTCGAGTCTTGCACTGGTCCTATTTTACTTATCTCCAGTTATGTACTGGTCCTGTTTGTTTATTTTATTTTATCTTCACTCTTGCACTGATCCTATTTTACTTATCTCCAGTTATGTACTGGTCCTGTTTGTTTATTTTATTTTATCTCCAGTATTGCACTGATCCTATTTTACTCATCTCTAGTTATGTACTGGTCCTGTTTGTTTATTTTATTTTATCTCCAGTCTTGCACTGGTCCTATTTTAATTATCTCCAGTTATGTACTGGTCCTGTTTGTTTACTTTATTTTATCTCTAGCAATGCAGCAATCCTATTTATTAATTTATAGTTATATTATTTAAATATTTTTTTATAATAATATCTATTTGTGAAGATTTGATGATATTGTAGATGGAGGTTGGACCTTGAGGATTTAAATGAGTAAATATCACCGATAGAGTGATTAAAAAAATTGGGCTCATTTATCCCGACTAGTCACTACAAATTTAATTTAAATCTTCATAAAATAGAATGTGTTGAGGAAGTTGATATATATATATATATATATATATATATATATATACATATTATAAGATTGTATTATTGTAAATGATAAATGTTCTCACTTCCTATTGTGATCTTTTGTGCATGTTTTACTTAAACACCAACTTAAGTAGATGGAGGCGCCAAATATTCCAAATCCTTTTTTTGCAAGCATCACTGCCTTCTTTCTAGGAACTACTTAGAATACGAATGTTATAGACAACTCGGTTACTTTTAGAGGGACAGGATTTTCAATAATAACATTTGTATATGATATGAGAAATCCCATTATGTTAGATGGGCTAGTAGTGGTTACCTTTTGTATGCCTCCTACCTTTTTCCAAAACCCCTTAATCAGTTTGTTTCCACCAGCAATGTAGATACTTGTAAAATTGTAGAAAAAAAATAAAAGAAATCAAAAATAAAATTCCTTCTTCTTTTATATATCTTATATATATTGATGTAAATTACTTTTACATATATATATATATATATATATATATATATATATTTTTTAGTCTGCTACTCTTATACAAATAATAATAATAAGAAAAAAAAATGTCACATTAAATGGTATTAGAGCAACGTTTCAAGTGTGACCTGTGAAATGAGTATATCCCGATATCTTATGAATCCTAACTTATATAATTCCAGATGACAAATAATAGAAGGAACAACGAGTTTACAGAAGCAATACAAGCTATCCGAGACATGGTCGCTGCATTATTAAGGAACCAAAGACCTGAAGGAACCAATGGATCACAAGGTTTAGTTGAATTTAGGAGAAAGAAACCTCCACAATTTTCTGGAGGTTATAACCCAGAAAATGTTGAATTATGGATTAAAGAATTGAAAAAAATATTTCAAGTTATGAATTGTCCTGATGACCAAAAAGTGAATTATGTTGTGTTTATGTTGATAGGAGAGGCTGAATATTGGTGGGATAGTACCAGGAGATTACTAGAAGGAGGAAGAATAATCATTACTTGGGAAGTGTTTAGAACAAAATTTTTAGTAAAATATTTTCCCAATGATGTGAGAAGAGCGAAAGAAATAGAGTTTATGCAATTAAAGCAAGGAAGTAGGATAGTAGGAGAATATGCTTCTAAGTTTGAAGAGCTAGGAAAATACTCTGCATTCTTTTATCACCCTGATGAAATAATGAAGTGTATAAATTTTGAGAATGGACTTAGGCTCGAATTGAGAAAAGCAATAGGAATACTATAAATTTTTGATTTTCCTACACTTATTCATAAATGCAGATTTTTGGAAGATTTTGAAAATAATCAAAATAGTAAACCAAAATCTTTTGGACCTCAGCATAATAATAGGAGACAAAATGAAGAAAAACCTTACAACCGCCCCCACTGGAGATCCCAACCCAATCAATTTTCTGCCAGAAATTTTAATAACCGTATAAATAATCAACTCAAGTGTTTTAAGTGTGGACATGATCATTATGCTAAAGATTGTCATCTTAAAGGACCTGTCTGTTTTAAGTGTGGGAAACCTGGTCATATATTCTCTGAATTTCGGCAACAAAAACCAAATTTTGATCCTTCTACACCAAAAAGAAGACCTCCGACAACAGGAAGAGTATATACCATGAATGGAACTGAAGCTTCTCAGAATAATGATTTGATTCAAGGTATGTATTTCATTAAAGGAAAAACTTTCAATGTACTGTATGACTCAGGCGCAACTCATTCATTTATTTCCAATGATTGTGTCCAACACCTTGAATTGCCGACTTCTTTTTCTAGATACTAGTTTGATTGTTTCAACTCCCATAAGTAAGTCTGTAATTACCAATAAAATTTGTCTACATTGTCCTTTGTTCATTGAAAACAGGAAATTTCTTGTAAATTTAATTTGTCTACCTTTATCTCAATTGGATGTAATCCTAGGTATGAACTAGTTATCTTCTAATCAAGTCCTTCTAAATTGTGCAAAAAAATCAGTAATATTTTCAAATTCTGAAATCCTTTTGAGTTTCTCTACCAACTTAGTAAATGAGTCTTTGAAGAACAAAATTCAAGGATATTTGTTACTATCTTCTGTGGAAGTAAAAGAGGAATTCGATTTGAAAAAAATAGCAGTTGTTCAAAATTTTCTTGAAGTTTTTCCTGAAGATATTCCTGGTTTACCACCCAACAGAAAGATTGAATTTTCAATAGATTTTGAAATTGATGAAGATCTTATTGGATTACTTTAGCAAAGATCTTATTGATTTGATGAAGTAAAAAATGAAGTCTAACACTACTACAAAAATGTTAAATAGTAATCGAAATCAGTGACTGCAAAATTTAGTCATTATCAATAACTGAATTAGTAACCGAATTATTATTTTTCAATTTAGTAACTGTTACAATAACTGAATTTATGGTTACAAAAATCCAGTTACTATTTCAGATCAGTCTCTTATTTTATTTATTTTTTAATTGTTTTAATTAATATCAAATTATATTTTATTAATTCTTACCCTCCTAAATTTTATCTTTCCCGCTCACAAATTTGAGAACTAAAGTAGGTGACCTGTTGACCATGGCCTGACTATGAACATTTCCCCTGAACTTTCGTTCCGCTCCCAATTTCGTCCAACTCCGACCATTGAACCATGAGCTGTCAACTCCAACCACCTGAACACCCATCCTCAGCGACCTGAAAGCCCAACTCTAATGAACTAAAACCCAACCAAAACCATGTGAACTTGAACGCAACCCAATCCTCAGTTACCTCGAACCCAACCAAAACCTAAGTGACGTTTAATCGCAACCGCAACCGCAACCTCAATATTGGCGAAGTTGAGGCTCAAACCTAGCTCCGAAGACATGGAACCCCAACCCTGACCCTAATACAGACCCTCGTCACGGACCTAAAGCAACTTGAACCCTAACCCAAATTTTAGTATCGAACCCTAACCCGAGCCCCACGATCTCAACCCCCCACCCCAAACTCCGACGACCTCAAACATCAAACCCTAACCCAAGATAGGTCGAACTAGAACCCTTACCCTGATGAACTGAAATCCCAACCCGACGACCAGGAAGGTATGGCTATTGAAATAGCAGAAGCTATGGTTGGGGCTCTGAAAGGGGAGCTTGCTGCTACTGCAGTCAATGCACCAATGGTTCCCTCTGAGGTATCAAGAAAAATATTAATCCACTTCCTTTTCTTTATACATTATTTGATGATATTTCCATTTGTTCCTCTCCCTTACCTTGAGAAAATATTTGTAAATTCATTTATTTGTGTGTGTATCTAGCTTCTGATATTGAAATGGGTGTTTTGAAGATGGTACCTATTTTATTGTATGTTTTTTCTATGTGTTGATGGATGCAGGGGTGGTGCTACGAAAGCATCCAACAAGTTCCAATGAAGCATCCATTCAAAATGTATCTGAAATGGTAATTTTATTTTTAGACTTTATTATCTTTTGTTTGTTTGAGTAATACATATTGTTTTAATACATAAATTGTCTACGATTCCGTACTTTAAGTGTATAACAAATGTTCTGAAGTTTTGTGGAAGTCAATTGGTTTTCTGGAAGTCACATCCCATGATTTTAATATAGATTTTACTCTCCTCCATTGCATCAATTTTATTTATATATGATCATATCAATATCTGCTTTTAGTAATTCATTTTTGTGTGTACAGAGTGATGCTTAACTGGAAAAGTGGTGTTGCATGCTTTTCTTGTGTTCTGTTTTCCTCTTTCTTGATCTGTCTACTTCCAAGAATGTGATTTTCCCTACTCGTGAAGTACTCTATCTTAGTGATTTTGTATGATGATTTGATTCTAAACTAGAATTTTGTGGGTTGATGAGCGTAAAGTTTTCAATATTTTTGGGCTTCTTTATTGTCTTGGAACGTAATTTCCAATTTGAGTTGTGTGATGCTAGGACATGAAGGAATAAAAATAAACTATATCAATGAAGAGAAATGAAAAAGTAAAAAATAAAAATCCACTGGTTCCCCCTCTGTTTAAATAATTTTGGCAATCACATTGTTTGATAAAAAAAATTGTGCAGTTAATATTTACATTACAAATTTTAGGGCTTACCTTTTCCATCTGCTCTATAGAAACCAAAATGGGTAAAATTATCATTATGTTTAACTTTATTTATCGTTAATGCAGAACATAGACAAGTCTGAGGATATTTTTCCTGAAGTTCAAGGTATATCTTCATTTTAACTTCCTTTTTCAGAGTTCAACATTTACTTCTTACTAGTATTTGATAATTTCTTTCAAAAATTCCCCTCCCCCTTCTATTTTGTCTCTTTTAAAAGAAAGATGATGATTTTGTATGTTGAAAAATATACTTTTTAATGATTTTTATTTGCTTTTAACTGTATGTGTCTGAGCTTCTTTTGAGTATTCTTATTGTAGTTATGGTCAATATGTTTTTCCTCTAGTTGTTATGTGTTTTTTAAAGTATGTGTATTCACTTTGCAAGCAATGTTGATAAACCTTACAGATCCTGCTTGATAAACCTTACAGATCCTGCATAACTGGGTACGATACAGAAGACAAGTCTACTACATGTTTGCAAAATGCTACTATGCATTCATATCAACATTGTCTTGTTCATTCTGCTTCAGAACCATCTGATTCTGGTTTCATGTGAGCTTTTCAAAGTGGATATTTTAGTTATTTGCAGCATGTACTGCTTTCTGACTTTTATTATGTGTTAGTAGAAATCATTTGATGTGATGACTTACAGAGGTTGTATTCTTCTTTAAAGCCAATTTTAATTTATTTGAAATGCAGAAAGGGTGCAGTTTCTAGTTACATTCATCAACAAGAAATTACTGCAGATTTGCGATGGACTCAGAAATTTGGATTTGCTTGAATCCTTAGGGGCTAGTGGCTGCTCAAACAGCCAAAATCAGAAGTTAATTTGCAGTGACATGTCAAAGCCTTACGAGAGGGAACAATTGGTTAGGACTAAAAAAATGGAACTTTTTGGAATTTTCCTCATTATTATTTGCTGGAGTTGATAATGGGATACATTATCCTCTAAAATTAAGATGTTTTATTTATATAGACTTCTAAGCCTGCTTAAAATATTTTGCGGTCTTCTATTGAGAAAGATTCTGGTTTGGTCCTAAGTTTTGGATTGGCAGGTCAGCCAAAATATGATTTGATGGTAGTATCATTTATTATATCTCTTAATCCAAATTAAACCAAATAATGACATTACTGAGTTTTTCCTTAGTGAAGGGAATTAAAAATTTTATATGGATGGAATTATCTTGTTTAATGATTGTTGTCGGCTTTAGGATACAATGGTATAGTTTTGCAACAAACAAAAAGTTGGTTGATTATAAAATACTAAGAAATATCAGATTAGGGAAATGAATTTCTGTAATTTTAAATGATGTTTAAAACTTTTTACTTTATTAATGTAGAGTACTTCAAAGCATTAGGTTACTTCATGGCTCAACACGGAAAAGATTAGTAACCGCCTCTAGCTACATAATCTCTAGTTTACACTCAATGAAAGTAGGGATACCTCTCTGTTCCATTCATTAATTGTCTCTAGCTACTTAAATGTCTTAGTAATGATTAAGGCCATGTTTTGATTTTTATAATAGAACATAATAAAGTAATATTTCTTTTTGTTTCTCAAGTTTGAACGTGTATATCATTTACAGGTGTTTTATGGACTACTATGCAAACAAGATGATAATTTTCTCCACTATTTTAGTTTCCCAAAGTTTATGTTATAAGCCTATAAACTATGATGCACGGATACCTTAGTAATGTAATTTTGATATATTTAATATAACATATAATGTATTTTATATTTTTTAATTAAGTTTATCGTATTAAAAAAAAATTAGTGATTGATTCGGTTATAAAATTAGTTACTGATTTGGTCACTAAATCGGTCACTAATTTGGTTACTGAATCGGTAATTAAATTGGTCACTGATTTGATTATTGATTCTGTTACTAAATCGGTCATTGAATCGGTCACTGATTCAGTCACTGAATCAGTCACTAAAATCAGCAACCAAGGAAATAGTAACCGATTCCAGTTGGTCACTAATTCGGTCAATATTTTAGTTAGTGATCGATTTTGGTAATTTAGGGACCGAATTTTCAGTCACTATTTGATGTTTTTCTTGTAGTGCAAATGCTACTTTGTTGCAGTCAAATATCACTTAGATAAAATGGTAGAGTGATTAGTGAGTCTGCATCTTTATTTAGGTATAATCATTTTTATCTCTCTGTTGCATGAAGTTAAGTTTTCTTCATTTAAAAGATTTTGCAAATGCTTCTAAAACGTGTTTAAACGGTTAAAAACAAAGTATTTTGTTAAAAGGTTTTTGAAGTAACTATTTTAACTAATAGTATATGAGCTTTATCAACTAAAATGTTCTTAACACTTTTGTAACAGGTTTTTAACTGATATGTTTTCGAAATAATCAATTGTTTTCATTAGAAGGAATTTTGAAAACCTTCTGCCAGTATTTTAACTGATATAGAATTGATATAATCGATTAAAATGACTTAGTATATTTTGAAAAGTGTTCTGATAGAATTTTAATCGATACAAACTCGAAATAATCGATTAAAATAACTTGAAGTGTTTTGAAAGTTGTTTTGTCAGTATTTTAATCGATACAAATGTGAAATAATCGATTAAAACAACTAAGAGGTTTTTCCAGAATGTTTTAATCGATTAAAACAAGCATGCAATAAGTTAAAATAACTTAGAAAGTTTTATGAAATCCTTTGGCAGAATTCTAATCGATTAAAATGCGTTTCAATCGATTAAAATAACTAAGTGAACTTTTTCCAAAGTGTTTTAATCGATTAAAACAGATTGTTATCAGTTAAAATCACTTAGAAAATTTTATGAGAATGTTTAGCAGTATTTTAATCGATTGAAAGACGAAACAATCGATTAAAACAATTTGAAAGATTTTTTACAAAGAGTTTTAATTGATATAAACGTTGTCGTATCAGTTAAAAAAAATCTGGAAAATAATCAAGAACATTTTAACAGATTAAAAGAAGTTTTAACAGATTAAAACAAAACTTTTAACAGATTAAAAATTATTTTAACAGATTAAATAAACCAGCAGTTTGGAAAATCTTCTATAAAAACAGACTTGCTTGAACCTTTTGAAAACACCTTTTGGCAATCAATCAAGCAATCATAAGTGCTATTTTCAAGAGAGAATCACGCTAGTTTTGTGAAGTTCTTAGAAATTCTTTCTTGAGACAATATTTGCATTCTTTTGAAAAAGAAACTCATTCTGCAGAGCTGCATAAACCTGGTTTGGGTGTTCTAGTTTCTTCTCTTTGTTTCTTTACTTTTCTTTTCTGTATTGTGAGTGCCTGGAAGTGTGGGCACTGGTTTCTGTGGCTGGAATTTGGCTGCAGGGTTGGTCAAGAACTGGAAATTGGTTCTTGGTGAAGGTTTAGGTGCAAGGACTGAAATTTTGGTTCCTGTGGTAGATTGAGTGTGAGATTGAAGTTGTAATTTGTAAAACGTTCAATCTAGTGGAACCCAGCTGGAATTTGGCTGGAAAATGGACGTAGCCCTGCAATTGGGTGAACCAGTATAAATCTTGGTTGTATCTTTCTAAACCTTTCTCTCTTTAATTCTGTCACTGCCTTACTTTGATTGTTTGCTGTGTTTGATTCAAGAACTGGTCAGAATTCTTAATCTTTGAAATAGATAATCTATAAATTGCGAAAATCTTTCAAAGATCAATCCACCCCCCCTCTTGATCTCAGCCTACATTTATAACAGATTTAATGCCTGGA